TAAGCTGCTTACCACAAATATGATTTTTATATAGAATCTTCTATAAATCAATTGATTCGTTGATCCAGTTAAGATTCTGAAGAAGTAGCTTTACGTTCAATGAAATATATAACATGTCCTAATTTTATCCCTTACAGAGAAGGAATTGGATATTACTGGAGTAAGGAAACATAATTGAGAGGTAGAATGCTCTGAATCAAACTATTTGTGAAAAAATTATACAGATTTATATCGAATTCAAACCCTGATCCTGATAGCGGAAGAAATTATTCCAATTAGAAACTTATTTTTTAAAAATTTATTTTTTTTGTGAACTGCAAACGTATTCTGTACATTATGTTTGATTTTACAGAACATTAAATATCCTAATAACTTAATATTTTTGTGTTTCTCATATTCTTAGTTTGGTAATTTTATTTTATTTCAAAGATCATATTAGTGTACTGCATTTAGATAATAAGTAGCAAATGTAAATAGTCATCTTTTACATAGAAATTTTATTGTTTTGAAATTTAATAAATAGTTTTTTTTTTAGCCCATTAGTGACCAAGTGGATAAAACTACAGAACACTGGTAGTTGGTCGCGAATTCGCGTTTAACCAATCGACTAGCCGCATGAAGTTTTCCGGTTTTCTTTGTGTGTCTAACATTAATTAGAGCCAGTTTTCCATAGAAAGTCCTTCCGGAAGGCACCCCACCTTGGCAAATTGACCGTGTATTACGTTGTCTTATTTCATCAATCCAATCCAATAGTTTTTAAAAATATTTTGTATTCTTGAATAGGAAATAAACATAAAGTGAATTCATATTATTCATTTCATATTGTACAATTGTAAAAACTTATTTTTAATAAAAATGCAAAAAAATAAAATTGTAAAACTTGTATATTGCAGTGAAACATTTTATTTGATCATTAATTAGAAGATTTATGATTTTTGAATTTTTATTATTCTTAAAATGCTTTTTATAGATTACAAAAAATTATGTTGAGAAAATTAAAATAAAATTTAAAAAATTCTAAGAACTATTTGTATTTTAGGGACTATAATTGTAACGTCCGTAATTGTAGATCTTAAAGATCTGGTAAAATGAACAAATAAGGTCTTACCATGTGAATAATTCATCCTTTTTCTGTCTAATTCGTCTAATTGTGCTTGTTCGAGTGTTTTAGTTTTCAAAGGAGAACGCTAGTTACAAGAACAAAATAATCTATTTTGAACGGAAATCGAACCGGATTCTCATGCTAAATGATGTATGTTTGAATCATTTCTATGACGCAACACGTATAAGATCAATTTTTATTGGTCAAGAAAATAATATAAATCATATGGACGTTATATTTAAAATTTATTAATTATCCTCTGTTAACATTAAATACAGTACTGACCAATTATCCGGCAAGTTAGAAATCCGTGCAGGAAGAAAACTAGTTTTTCGTTTTCTGGACACGGGATAAATATGTACTTAAAACATAAAATAAACAATCGAAATTAAAGAACCAAATTATATTTAACACATCGTAAGCCATATACGGTGTGTTAAATACAATTTGGTTCTTTGGCCACGGAAAACAGAACAAAGCAGCCATGCGTTAACTATGACTGTACAGAAAACTAGCTAGTTTTCTGGTAACTCTCAATTTCTGGAAGTCGGATATTTAGTCCATTACTGTATACTGTAATTAGTCTTTTTTCATCTTCTTTTCGACATAATTTTGGCTTTCACAGCTTGTTATTGATTTCGATAAACATATAACGAAATGTATCAGGATCCCCGCGTTTTTTTATGCAGCGAGAGTGTAGCGAAATGACGTCACGAGCAGTATTGGCCAATTAGAAACCATTTTCAGTGTGTTCGCTGTAAAGCGCTTCTCGAGCGCTGCATAAAAAAACGCGAGGGATCCGTTAGATTTTGATCAATTTCGAATACTTATTTTAAATAAATGCTCCTCTTTAGTTTAAAAATTTTATTACATAAAATTGAAAAATTTTTAATTCTATATTCTTCTTTCAAAACGTTGACATTGTAGTTTTTTCGAAAAACTTCTATTGAAATCTCTTTCTCAAAATTATTTATTAAGATAAAAAAAAATAATTTACGTGTTTGTTCGAAATATGTTGAATATATTTATACAAATAATTACAATAAACACTGAACAGTAATAAACAGAATAAAAATTTTAAGTGTTAATCTAATTTATATAATTTCAAGTGTTTTTATTTTGAATCGTTTCATAAGCTCCTAGAAGCAGATAAGTTATTTTTAAAAAGTTATTTTTTACTATTAGATAAGTTATTATCATGAATTCTATTAAAATTTCCCTTTGTTTAAAAAGAGTATATTTCGGTTAATTCGTGTATAATTATTAAAAAGATTACTTTATATCATTTTTCGTCATCGCTAATTTTAGATTTATCTACTTATAACATTTTTAAGGAAGAAAATTTAAATTTAAGTTGGTAAAATTACTACGTAATCCTGTTTTTTCCATCAAATATTCTAGAATACATTTAAATTGGATGAAGGAAGATGGATGGGTAAGATGGAGGAAATTGATCATAATTTTATTTTTTAAACAACTTTAATGAAAAAAGTAAATGGTGAATTTATAATATAAAATGTTAAAACTTTGTAATCGTATTTTTCTTTTTGTTTTATTTTCCTTATAGTAAACATGAAATCTAACTTTTTGTTCGATAAGTCTCAATTAATCATTGTTTCCAAATAAAATAACACATATAAGACATGCTGTCTATGTTATACAATTTAATTTTATATTAAAAAGACCAAAAACATTTCCTGTAAATTAGTTTTACATTTATAAAAACAACAGACTAATTTCTTCATTTTGATATATCTAAGCTAAATTTTAGTAATATATTTAGCTTAGTTATACATACGTAGTACATATATAATATTATTAAATATTAAAAAATATTTTTAAAACAATAATAATTTGTTTTTACTTTCCTGGCTATTATATAAAACAGAGGGCTCAAAGAGATCGGTCGAAAGATGACCCCACCACCCAAGATTTTTACTTTTTTGGACTTAGGACACCTTGAAACGTCGAGAAATTCAAAAAAGATTCAGGGTTTTTTTCTTTGGGGGGACACGATTTTGTTCATCCTGTTTGCGGTTTGTTTATTAGGGGATTAATGTTGCTATTAAATTTTGGTGATTAAAGATCGAGGGTGGGGAGATAAAGGGCGTTCTGTGTATCTTCAGTAGGTTAGGACTTAATGACGATTTTACTCGATATCAGCATTTACAATTTGTCAGAAAACCCATCTCTACCCTCAAAATGAAGCTTTTTGCCATTTTATAATAGTTAAAAATATAAAAAGTTTTTGAAATAAAATATGATAACAGATGGCGTCATCAAACTTTTAAATGTAGCCGGGAAAGTGAGCAACTCGTAGCTGGATTTTTTTTTTAAATGCTTACAAAATTACGATTAATGTGATGTATCATTAGTAACAAGGTAATTAAAATACGCTTAGCGATATTTAAAAATTCAATTAACAAATAAAAATTTATTTATCTATACCTGAAGCAAACTTTAAAATAATATGTTGAATCAATAATTAAAATAATGACTTCAAATTATAATTTTGATCAAATTTTATATATCCAAATTACATTCTGTAGCCATATTTAAAAAATAGTAAGTATGAGAAAATATATCATACTTTTCATTGACAAAAGAAAAATTATTTCCAAAACTTGATGTCTGATATGAAATTAAACTGAGATATTATATCATAAAAAATATCAAGAAAAACATGATTATTATAAAATATTAGAAATTTATTTTTAGAAAGTGTTAAATAACGAAACTATTTATAAAAATAATAATAATAATAATAAACTACAAGAAAAAATATCACTTGTAGCATTTATTTATTCGCACTACGTTTTCATATTTGAAAAATGTACGAAAAATTTAATGGATTGAGGACATCTATGAAAATGGAAAGTTAATCTGCTACCTAAATTTGGAACCAATAAACAAGCAGGATTCCTAAAAGTTCATAGTCTCTATCTATAGAAGAACAAATGAAGAACAAAGAACAGAAATAGGAAATAATTATTTATGGGAACGAAACTAAATCTTTACGCTGATATTTAAATATAAATTAGTGTAATTCGATCGATAATATATAGAGGAATAAATTTGAAAAACAAATCTGTTACCTAATTTGTAAATGAAAAATCAGTTGATTCATCACAACAATCAATGAACAAGAAGACCTACACTGAAACCTATAAGAATTCATTATAAAGTTATTATTATCAGGAATTTTGTAAAAACTAAAATATTAATTAGATATGCTTACATTATTTTTGTTTTTTAAAAAAACTCATTTATTGTAGTTAAAGATTTTATATTATATATCTACTGAATATGGTATGAATAAATAGTATTAATTTATTAAATTAGTACCAAACTAATCATAATTTGGTACTAATTCTGGAATCGATTCCTTAAGTTGATGACGAATTTATTTCTTAATTATATTTACTTTTTTATTTTTGAAATATTAAATTAATTGCTTGAAAATTAAAATTAATTAATATTTATTATTTTAAAACATTATATAATATGAAATAAAATACATCATGAACACATCTCGGCTGTTTACTGTAATTTTTATTTCGTATTCATATGATTTATTTGAATATATAATGATTGATTACAATTTGAAAATATATCGATTGATCATTTGAAAACAATCGATTTATTTATTTTTCATTATATAATAATATAATATTATCTATATTATATATATGTATAGTTTGTATGTAAAATAACTTTAAATATTGTATTTGTGGTTCAGTCATTTATTTTAAGATATTCTTTATTATTGTTGTTATTTTTTTAAGTAATTGATTAGAATAATAAATTAGCTTATTATTAAAAGATACTAATCATGCAATTAAGAGAAATTCTACCCGTTAAATTGTATTATATTTTATGTTTATATATTACTTTACAGTGCCTACTATGACATTCCTGTAAGAAGAGGAGATAATTTCGAGCGCACATTGTGTCAAATAATGAAACCGTCTTAACAGAGACGTTATCTTAAATGTATCTATATATAGTCTCCTGTCCTTTGCACCGTAGTCTGGGATCTCTTCGTGCCAAGTATCGATTTGCAGACCAAATTTGTCTTAGGCCGTTACCTTATAGTCTAGTGTTGTTATTTATAAGAACTGCAGCCTATATGAATATGAAAACATAGAATAAATATTTAATAAAATATCTTGAATTGATAAAGATATTAAACAGTTTATTTAAGTTACTCATATTCACCAAATTTATAAGGCATATAAATAAAAATATATAATATAAACATAGGTATACATTAAAATATGATACGTAGAAAAAAAATTATAAAATATTTATATTTATTAAATTAAATAACAATTTATAAAATAATATAATTGTACCAAGTAGTGTAGGCTAAACAAATTTTTAAATATTCAAAATACAGTTATATTTAAATATTTTTAATAAGAAACTTTATACAAAACTATTGTTAATTGACACCTATACTATAGCATTGAATCATCATTTATCGTCATATAATAGCTCACACGTGTATTTATTTTATCTTTAATCTTGATAATTATTATGAATACTGGCTGACAGTTGGAGTCTGGGTCGAGTTATTGGTATTTATTAAAATATTTTTAAGGAAATGACAATAAAACAAAATTATATTCATTAAATAAATAATTCGTATTCATTACGATGATTAAGTTATTTCGATTGTAACATCATTATTTTAATTTCCACAAAAAAATTAATTTTTTAATTTATTTATAGTTTTTATCTATAAATATAAGATGCAATGATGCAAAACATTCTTATAGCCTATTTAATTGAGAAAGTTATGTGCATTAATCTTACATAAAAATAATTTTCTATATATAATAATATATAATTCTTGTAAATTATTAAATTTTAATACTCTAAATGAATTTTTAATATTTTTTTCACCTCCTTTATATACAGTATATATGAACATCTTTCATAAACATCCTTCTAAACAGAAAAAAGAATATCGTTAAGTTTATTATGCACATATGAGATAAGCTGAGACATCAAAACAGTCTTCTTGTGTCAAAACATTAGATAAAATGATGCAAGATAAATGTCAAATGTCATACAAATAACTATCACTCAATCCATCTAATGATAATTTCAAGAAATCTAAACACTATGTTAATTGTTATATTTATTGGGAGAGAAAAAAACTTATCAATAAATTCACAGCCAATATTTATTCATAAATTTTAAATCAATAAATGTATAATCATGAGTTATTACACAAACAAAAATTAAACAGTTGCTTATATAATGATATAAATATTCAAACTTCTAAATAATCTGTTTATTTATTGTCATTTCTAAAATTTTATTTTTGTAAAATAGTTAAAATTATAGAATAAAATTTATTTATTTTTTTAATTTCTCAAATAATTAATGTCCTATATGAATTTATCTTCATTCAAATTTTATTTTATTTTCTCTAGAATTATACATGTGAAAAAAAATGATGAATAATTATCAGATTTATAACAGTTTAAACTCATTAATAAGTTATTAAACATTTCAAGTCATTTACTTTACTTTTTTTTCCTAAAGTACTGTAATATGGAAGTGTTCCTTGTAGACGAATTACATCATCTACCAGGAATTGCAACACACAATCATTTTAGCAAAAAATCTAATTTTTTTCCAAACTGAATTTAAAAATGATTTAACATATTAAGAAAAATATTTTTTTTTTTTAATTACTGTTTAAGCAATATAAAATTTAATTGATTTCTATCAATAATGAAGCATTATCACGAAATTTGAAATTTACAGTTAATTAGCTTAATATTTCATTTTTTAACAGTTTATAATTTTAATAATTAATTTTTGGTATTTGATAAGTTAAAATAAAAATTCTAAGTTTATTTTTTATAATTATTTTACCCAGCGTTTACGTTTACTAGCGACATCTAGTATCGTTAATATAAAATAAATATATAATTTAATATCATTATTAAAATACTTTTTAATTAAAAATTTATATTTAAATAATTACAAAATTAAATCCGCCATACATACTAATTTAATTATAAAATTTTAATTATTTAATAATGGAAAATTCGTTAACTTTTGCCTTTTTTTTTAATTTTGTTTTTAATATTACTCCTAGAAAGAAAGAAAAAAATATATATACAGTAGCACTAAAATTTCTCTAGTTCAAATAGCATAACGTCCTTCACCGTATAAATATTCTGTGATTTGAACCAATGAGATCTTTTACAAGATTTTTTTAAATTCTAAGCACGGACTCTATTTTTAGACAAATTGTAATTATATAATTAAACAATTCGAAAAACATATTATAACGATTGTTTCACGAAATTTCGACTTTAGCGTTGATTAGCCTAAAGTTTTCATAAGCTATATTAATGGCATTTTTAAAAATTATTATTAAATCATTTTTAAGACGAAAGAATAGAAAGAGCATTAAAATAAAAAAGGGAGTTCAAATATATTGTATTGAATTCTTTTGTGATATATAACTGAGCTAAAAATGATTAGCGTCATATAAAAAATTCACTATCTGATACATAAAAGAGAAATCATATAACAAAATCTCTGTTTTTCTTTTCTTTTTTTTTTTGCAACGTTATTTTGGCGTTTTGGAATTTCCATAGTTTAAATAGGGGCTTCTTAAACTGTGGGTCGCGTAACTGAATTTGGGAGTCGCGAAAATTTGACAAGAGCAAAATTTTGTAATAAGTATTTATGCGAAGCAATGTTTTTAGCATTGGTGATTATAAAATCAAAATGTCGGTCAATTCTGAAAAACTTAGATGGTGCCCTGTGTCCTTCAATTTCAAATATTCATCCAACATTTAATTGTTTATGGAAAAATAAACAAGCGTACCTATCTCATCAGTAATTAAAGTTGTTTTTGTGTTTAATGAATGGTAATAAATGGTAAATAATATGTATATCAAAGAATTGCTTTGGAATAAGTTGTTTTATGATTTACTATCAGTTGTTTTATTTATACGGATTTTATATGCATATATATCGGTGATCGCGTAAAATTTTCTCTGTTAAAAGAGGACGCGAATGGAAAAAGTTTAAAAACACCTTCAGATAAAACGATTTTCGGGCTGTTGTTTCAGCTTTTACCCTAAGAAGAAATGGGCCGTGGCGCCGTATAGCACACAAAAGAGCGAAATACTTATACACGAATTTTACACACAATAGAGAGGTTGAGGCGCACGTTTTAAACGTGTAAACGTGTACGTGTGACGTTCGGCGCCGCTTTCCCGTAAGCCTAAAAGTTTGACAATGGTGTTTGGATAGTCGGTGGAATCACGCTCGACATTCCAAACACCATCGTCAAACTTTTAGGCTTACGGGAAAGCGGCGCCGAACGTCACACGTACACGTTTACACGTTTAAAACGTGNGAATAATTTTAGCAACTTTAATGGATCACCCTACTTAATGTGCAGATTAACTAGGTAATGTGCACATTAACGGATTTCAAGCTTTAGCGGTAATATACATATATACATATACATACATCATATATAGCCTATATATATATGATATAAGTGTCGATAATGATATAACTAGGACATCACGCGACTTTGTTGTATCGTGATAAAATTCATGCGGAGCTGGACAGAAGCGATCCAAACCGACACTTGCGGACACCAAGAGGAAATCCAAGATCAAAGCTATCGCCATTGATTGCTTTGTTCTTGTGTTTTCTTCGTTTTTCGCGCCTATTTTCCGTTAGGCGCACATAATGCTGTTTTTATTTTTGATCCCTAGGCTTAAATTTCATTAGGCGCGCTCAGCCGCATCAGAAAGTATGGACATTGTTACTTTGACTCCACTGTAGGCTATATCGAAAACGAAATCAAGGACCACTATTTTTTAAATTTAAACGGACCCTCATTACATGTCTGATCCCTTATCGTAATTAATGGAAAATGGCAGTCTTATCAAAATCGACCTATTAAATTTTGAAAACGTACTCAATTCTATAATCTCATAAAGCGTTGTCAGATTTGGCTACTTTGTGCCAAATTTGGCTACTCTTTCTTTAGTTTGGCGTAAAAAGTATCATTTGATGCATTGGCTACATTTTTGGCTACATATTTATTTTAAAATATATTATTTGAATAAAAATACACTTTACAATGGTCTTTCAGAAGTTTTTTAGAAGTATAGACCCAAATAAAACAAATATTTGTTTTTGAAATAAATTATTTTTAAAGGAGAAGTAAAAATTAAAAGAATCTGTAGAAGTAATTTTTTTAAATATCTTTTCTGGTGATAAAGTTTTAATAGTTATTACTATCTAGACATGTTAATCTTTAAATAATAATATGAAAATTAATATTTTTCTACTATTCCAAAGGACTTATTAAACCACAGTTATTTAATTTGAAAGTTGACTAACAAGTAAGAGATTTCTTTATTAAGCAAACTTTATATGGCATATAGTTTCATTCGTGCAGGTTTTGTAGGCAATATGTAGAACAGTAATAATGAGGATTTAGTATCTAAACATAGAAAAGCCACTAATTTTTCGGCTTCATTGTAATTTTATGGAACCTCCGTCATAATCTGATTGGATTCCTATTTAACGGTGCATACTTGTACATGTACAGTTGACCCCCCCTATAACACTATTGATAATTTCGTTTTATATGAATTCCATGTTGTTCGAGTCACTTAGATTTTACAAATACGTGTGCCGGGCTGTGAACTGCCCACGTATTTGTAAAATCTAAGTGACTCGTACAACATGGAATACACATAGGCTAAATGTAAAGTTCATTTATTGTGACGAAGGTCCAGGTATTTCTGAAATTCTTGATTTTGCGATAAAGTTGTGTTGATTCATTTGTCGCTTTTTTTTTCTTTCCTTCGATCCTGCAAATGTCGGTGTAGAAGATCACATCCAAAACGTCTCGTTTTGTTTTGCACTCCTTTCAAAATCTGGATCATTCGCTACAATTTAATCAACGATTTTGGTTATCGCATTGGCGTAGCCAGAGGTTTGTTATGAAGGCTAGTAGAGGCCAGCCTGACACAAAATTGAATTATTTCAAATGAAATTTCCATAGGAATCGACAATAACTTAACACACATATAATATGAAACTTTCTTTAATTATACGTTCTAACATTAATATCAAACTCTAGCAATGCTTTAACCCGTAGAGACTAAACTGTACAC